TGACCGATAATCATTTGTTCATTGTGCATTTATCCCCACCAAATGGATTTAGTTACTTTTCTTTTTCTGAAACATGGCCTCATTATGTAGTTTAGGCTGAACTCACTGGGTAGTCCAGGCTGTCTGAGCACTAATGGCAATCCTCTTCTCTCGGCCTCCCAAGTGCTGGGATTACAGGAGTGCAACCCCATGCCTGGCTTAATTACTTTTTAATATGGAGCCTATTTCACTTCTGAAGGCCAGAGGATTTTATAGCAGTTGTAGTTACAGATAATATTAGTTAATCTGACATTCTTAAATATTTATCCGTTTTGGAAGATACTATAAAATGCAAAAGGAAATATAAATGACACCAGAGTTTTTATAAATATACACTGTTAATATTTGTATAGACACTTAGACATGTAATTTCTAAATATGGAAATAATGTTCGTTCTGTTTCTACTTAAGATTATGGAAGTACAATAAATCCTGAAATATTTTCACCTCATACTTTTTCATTGCCATTGTAGCATGGAAGACAGTTGAGAATTTAACTTTTTATGAGAGCTTTTGGTTTTGTGATTATGCAAGATAGTGTCATATATTACACATATTATTTATATATATTATACATTGTGTATATGGTGAGCAATAAGGGTATTTCTGTGTTCATTGAAACCATTAATCATTGTGGGTTTTATTTACTGCCAAGACTACCGCTTTCTCTGAGAGAAGAGGAGAAGCTACTGTGGATTTGAGACCACGGATAGTAGAACTTTTTAATCTTAAATATGTAAAAATAATCAACTACTGCTTGTTTTAGAAAGATTAAATCCTATAGGGATTTCAAACATCTAATCAAAGGGGACTGGATATGACAGGGCCTGTTATAAGTATTTTCTGTTGTCACTATTTACAGGTTAACAAACTACCTTTTTAATGTCCATACACACACCTGAGACATCCAAGCTAACCATTAAATAAAGAAACATCATTTCTGGAAAGGGTACAGAATTTTTGGAAAATCTCTTTTAAATTTACATATATTAAGTGGTTTGTAGCCCTTGAAGTAGCATGTTTATGAATTTTTAAAAATTAAAATGTAATAGAAAATTCTTAAAACTTATAGCAGTTTAGATATAAAATGCTCCTCAAAGAAATAGTGCTTATGATTAAGCTTATATACTTTGGGGGTACCTTCTGAAAGCAAACATTTTCATAGAGGTGAATTCAAAATTTTATATATACAGTATGATAAGTTAACTCTGAAGGTGGAAAGGAAAAATCTGTAGGACTATGGAATAATATATAAATAAGGGGCGCAGTGTTTGGTTGTGTAAGACTTTAATCCCTAACCATTACTAATAGATTTTAGTGAAAATGTGTAGAGATACATTTATCACCACTTGCTTGTAGAAATAAGTTAAATATTTTAAAAGCTATTAAGTTCAGAGAAAGGCTGACCGTATAGTGTGGTTACCCAGGAAAAAAGATACTTTTTACAAAAGTCCTCAGAAGCATTCTGAGATCTGGTAACTCATAAACAACACAGTGAAATGAATGTTCAAGTATCATATTTGTGCATCTATTTTTGTGCTTTTTAAGACATATATTCAAGTTTTGATATACCATAAATATTTATTTAATATTAGCATGAAATAACTGATTATATAAGAAGTAATATCTATATCTTGATGTAGCTCTTCCATTTTTGGAAGAGCTTAATTCTATGTTAAGATTTTTAAAATTTACTCATGCTTGTGAGCCCAGCTTTGGGAGGATGGGGTAGAAGGATCACCTGATTGAGGTTAAGGTGGGCGTTAAAGTGACACCCTATTTCAAAATAAAAAGGGCCGGGGCTGTAGCTCAGTGGTAGAGTCTTGCCTAGTAGGCACAGTGTTCTAGATTTAATCCCTAGCATCACATCACAAAAAAAAGAAAAGAAGAAAGAAAAAATGTATTTCAATGTTACTTAGAATCTAATCAACTCATCAAATGGATCTCCTAGAATAGAGGCATCTAAACTCCACATTCCTTGGTCTGGTAGTATATGAAAAGAAAGTGAGTGACTGATGTGTCTGTCATTATTTATCATATCTTGGAGGCATGCAGGGGAGAGTGAACTGTTCTTTGGGAAATAATTCACATTGAAGCAAGGTGATTTTTTTTTAAGCACTTAAAAAAGGCCATACTAAAAACACAGACCTGAATCATAGATTTTAGTTTTAGTTTTGCTGTGATTTGTCAACTATAAGCTTTGAAAATACTAGTTTTAATTTGAATATCTGTTCAAATTTAGTTTTAGTTACTTTATCCTTTACAGATACAGAGATTTTTTCATTCTATGTTGAAGAAAAAAATTAAAAAGTGATGATAAAAGTATTTTTCTCTTAAACTTTAAGTTTAGAAGTGCACTGATTTGACTACAGGTATTATTTCACGTGGAGATAATGTCTGAGATATAAATCCTGGTTGAACAAAAACATCACTTGACTTGGCCATTTATCTTGAAAGGGACTGATTGTTGCTGACATAATTGTATTAAAAGTTTTTAAAACCTAATTTAAAGTGATCACAGAATCTGTACTTTCATATTTAAATGACAACAGAAACTGAAATTTTCAGAACCCATTATGCCAAGTATTTTTATCCTTTTTCTATGGTTGAACTACCAGAAAAATAACTAACTCTGTTTTTAAAAGTGTGATCAAATAGAAGGTAATTGGGACGGTGTGTGTACTTCTAAGTGCATTCAGCCGTATCATGACAATAATAATAATGCATAGTATAGATAAAAAGAACAATCAACATGTATTAAACACTCTGTAAGCACCAGATAAGCTTTTTACAGGCTTATATAATGTGAATTTGTTGTAGGTATTAGGCTCATTTTACAAATATGGAAATAAGGCTTAGAAATACTAACACATTCAAGGTCACAGAATCTGTATGTGGTATTTAGAGTCCAGTGAATTTAGGCTACTTTTTCCCTATTTATAGGCCCTTTTAACTCCTAAATTATACCATTACCACACATCCATATTCCGTATCTAATTAAAATAATCTTATTTTAAATTTGATATTTTATGCTGAATTCCATATATTCTAGATTTTATAATCTCATAGGCCATACTTACACATTTAGTTTAAAAATGGACCAAACACTTCACGCGCCACCAGAGGTGGTGAACCTGTGACACACGTGCCACAGCTGGCTGGCCCTTATCATTGAAAGCCCTGTGAGGTTCACCAGCGTTGGTATGTACAGAGTAATGTGACTGTTACAGTCTCCTCCGGAATTTCTCAGTTTTGTCATAATAATAGTGTATCCAGATCCCTTCGGGTGTACATTACATTTTATTCCTCGATGACCTGCACCTGAGGTTAGGTAGGAAGCCCAGACTCATTTGGCCTGCCCTGGTCAGCACACCTTCCGTGGGCCTGACACCAGCGGGGAGCTGCTAGGTGGAGCCCGCAGCTGCTCTGAGTTCTGAGCTCAGCCAGCCCCCTCCAAGATGGCTCCCGGCCAATCACTGTCTCGTGCAGGAAGACTGAGCCCTCAGCACTCACTGCCAGCCAGCGCACTCCTCCACGTCCACTGCTCCCCTCCACTGCTGCATCTCTCTGTGGAGGCCTCAGAGGTCGCCGGCAGTCACCGTGGGTCCCCAGGTCTGAATTGCCCCTCTTGAGCAGTGAGTCCTGTCTCAGAAGGTGCCTCAGGCCATGCTCTTCATTGAAGTTTCTCTCTTCATGCTCTCCGTGGGCTTCAGTTCAGATCCTTTCTGGGTCCAGGCGACCCACTTCCCTCCTTCTTGCCTTCCTCACATTGCTATGTTCCAGCGTCTGGATGGCAGCTCTCAGAGAGGCTCTTTTTCTGCTGCCTACCACTCTGCCATCTTTGCAACTACTAGTGAATATAACGACTTCATTAAAGGAAACCGTCAAGGACAGAAGCAAGATTAAACTAAGAGTCCCATTCAGAGTAATGTTAAGTGATATTTAGAAACTACATCTTCAAAACATACTGTGATTTTAGAAAAATAGAATGATTGCTAGACATGATAATCCCAGCACTCAGGAGGCTAAGGTAGGAGGATTGTTGCAAGTTGAAGGCCAGCCTGGCCTACATAGTGAATTCAAGACCAACCTGAACTACATAGTGAGACCCTGTGTCATGGAAAAGAAAATAGAATGGTATATTAATGAGGACCCATGTTAAGTAAAGATTGTTTGAGCGAAACACCTTGTTTCGAGAAGGATGTGTTGTAAGTGTTGCTTGTAATAAGTAAATGTTTTCCTTGTTTTTTTCCCCCCATAGGAATTAGTATAACAGTTAGTTCCCTTCATCCCTTTAATTTTTGGACTACAGTCTTTCTCCTACCATCGTTTCCCTCAAAAGAATTTCTTCTAAAAACAAAGCAAAGTATATTACTTCTATTTCCCTTTCCTATGAGCAAAGTTGTGGTAACTTAACAAAAAGTCCCTGTCCCTCAGTTAACTATTTAAGTGATGCTATAGCTCAGAATGTTCCTGAAGTAATTTTTCCATTATAGAGAGGACGTTGTTATGGAAACGATGAAATTGTCTTTTCCATTGTTTAAAGGTGTCAAAAATGTGTAAATTACATAGGGAGGATCTATATCAAAAGTAAATGAACAGAATGGATTTAATTTTTATGACTTCTCCCAAGGTGTTAACTGTTAGTGCTCCCCTCCCCCTCTGTATGAGCTGTCTGTAGAAGTCTCTTCCATTACTAACTTTTCCTCCCCACAGGCACACTCTTAAAATACACGATCCATCCTGCTTTTGAGGGGCTTGATAGAATGCTAAGATCTCAACTTGGGTACTTTTCGTTTTTGGTTTTCTTCTGGTACCGGGAATCAAACTCACGACCTCACGCTTGCCAGGCAGGCGCTGGGCCGCTGAGCTAAATCCCCAGCCCCTAACTTGGGTACTTTTCCTAGCCCTCCTTTTAGTTGGAGTCATAACCACACTAGTCTTCCTTAACCTTTCTGCAGATTTGTTATTGGGAGAGAAAAACCAGGACAAGTGAGTGAGGTTGCGCACCTGATAAGCCAAACCCTGGAGCAAGAGAGGCGCCAGAGAGAGCTGCTGGAGCAGCACTACGCGCAGTACGACGCGGACGACGATGAGGTAGGGGCCGTGAGCGCCATTTCCTGCCCTTCTCTCCATGGTGTCCACCTCGAGCAGCTCTCCTCCTGTTGTGTGACCGTGCAGTAGGCTCTTTGCCTCTGCTTAAGGAGAATGTGCCTAAGTGAGCTGCAAGTTCATCCTCACAGGAACAAAATAGCGTTTGCAGAAACACATGAAGCAAGCTGTGGTACCTTGTTTCTAGTATGTACACTGTGGAAACAGATCAGTCTTACCTTTCACCATGCTATCACGTAGAAAGTTGAGAACCGAAAGGGGTCAAAACACCAAAACGTGAATACTGGCTACTTTTATTTGCTAGAATTAGATTGTTTTCTTCCATTTTTTTTTTTTTCAAAGTAGACATTTGAAATGAAAACACACATCAGTGCAAAAAAAACACACACAGAAAAGTACTACAGGTGGCTGACGGTTGCGGAGTGCTCCCACAGTTCTTCGGATCTGCTCACGGTGATTCGTGCTAACATAACACAGAGCAGAGCTTTCCATCAGCACGTGCTCCATGGAGCAGATACACATTGGAATAATTTTACTCCTTCTTTCTGTAGAAACTCAAGTCAGTGAGTACATGCTAACGAACCCCCGAGTGCAAATGCCTCTCTAGAACCCTAACGTGCTGTAACGTAATACAGATGCTGGTCGTTTCTAATGTCAGTGCCAGATGTACCCTCATCAGATGGGACAGCATGCTGCATGATAGACAAATCCAGTGCGCTTCATGTGGGCATGTCAAGAGATCTATCCACAGTTTAGTTGTAGAACTTTATAACTAGTAAATACTCAGAAAAAACAAATATTCTTTATGCCAGCGAATGTAAACATAGTGAAATTTCCTATGTTTAACCTCCGCTCACCTGAATATATTATTTTTCCACCTGAATATATTATACTTTTTTGGTTTTTAGTCAGAACATAGAGAAGATTAATAATGGGACATTTAAATATTTTTCCTGTGTGTTTATTCTGAGGTATTTTAGCACAAATGTATATCAGGTTTCCGTATGTTTGTAGTATAAAGTGGATGTGTTCTCTGTTTATTATAGTGGAAAATTAGAAGTGGTATATCAATTAACTTTTATTAGAAACCCTTAAAAGAATATTCTCTTGAAATCCTATTTATTTATATTTCCACTTGTTGTCCATTTCAAGTGGCAAGTATTTTTTAAATTATGCTGATGGCTAGATATACAAATATGTTATTTTGGATTCCAAAATTAAAATACCGACTTCTTAAATCTTTGAACTTGAATCTTACCTAGTTTTCAGTTCTCTGCTCCATTGTTTTTTATTTTATTAGAGATACTGATTTGCTTTGGCTGCGCGCCTATTGTAGGATTGTAGAGCCATCCTCTGCAGGTTTGGTTTTCACCTCTTCACCCTCTGAGAAAGGGTGTGGGCCCAGGATTCAGGGGAGTATGGTGACATCAAGAGGCGGGAGGGGAGGAGACCAGCGTTTCTTGCCTGGTGGCTCAGTACCCTTGCCTTTACGTAGGGGCGCGGGGCTGGATCTCTGCATCTCTCCCAACATCTGTCATTCCATAAATCTGGCGCCAGACATCAGTTCTAACGAACCGAGGGAGAAAGTAAGACAGTGGTCTTTGTGGCTCCCCAGGTGAAGTTTTTAGGACACGTATGCCATTTTCCTCTGGGTACTTTGAGGAATTAGTCATATTTATCACTACAAGTTTTCAATTCAGGCAGCTAGGAATTAGTCATATTTATCACCACAAGTTTTCAATTCAGGCAGCTAAAGCTCATGTGAGTGTGTGTGTGTGTGTGTGTGTGTGTGCGTCTTTGGAATGTGTGCTAGAATTTATATATTTGGTATATTGAATAAATGTAAAAAGAACATTTTTATTCTACATTCATACTTAAGAGCATAGCATATACCAATTGGAAGATAGCTAATGGGTTGACCTATGTTTGCAGAAAGTAGCTCATTGTCCCCTGACCAAGTATTTGTATACGCAGGGGGAATAAGTAAATAATCAGTGTCAGGCACTGTGAGAGAAGATACCTGTCCTATATGGTCTCATTTAATCTTTAAAGCAATAAGAAGAGTATTTTTTTTTCCTAGCAATACAGCAACTGAGGTTTTTCTTCTAGTTACAGAGTGAGTAGTTGGCAGTGTTAGATTTGGAATGCAGTCTTCCTGGCTCCAAACCTAGAATCTCCCTTGTTTTTGAATAGAGTGTACAAAACACTCCAGATGGCTCTGTTGGGATTCAGGCACACACAGACTCACTGGGTAACAAAAGACATAAGAGGGTTCCTATTTAATGTGATGGGGCTTCTTATGATACTTAGGTTCTGTGGTTCTTTGGTAGTTTCAGTAATAAGATAATTGAATATATGGGAATTATTTATTCTAGGCAGTAACTCTTGAGCATCATTTTCATAAAGGTTAAAGAAAGGAAAAATTGAGTATAGAAATGTTTAAAAACTTCAGAGCTTAGCTCTCTGCTAAACATGCTATTTTTTCTAGAGGTTATAGAAATCAGATGCTTGCTACTGTTATTCCAGGTAAATTTTATTTTACTGAGAATGCTTGTCTTTTGCTTTGTATTTCTCTCTCCTCTCCTCTCTTCTTGTGTTTTCCCCTTTCTTATCTGTTGCAGTATGCCTGTCTTAAATATGCCCAAGTGAAACCAGCTCCTAACTTTCTCTCCATAGGAGAGATGAAAGCTATACATACAATGAAATTCAGTGCAGTGTTAAGACTTTCAATGTTATTACTTACTACCATTTTTTACTAATGTTACCAAATATTAAACTGGTTGGTTTTAATGTTACATCCCTATTTTTTACTTACTTCTTTCATTCTTAATGAAAAATAAAGTGTCCAACAGGTGAAAGAACTGAGGAAAATCAACACTGGACAGTTGGTAGATTAATTGTCCTTAAAAATGGATGTGATTTCCTTACATATAATTGACCAATTTATTCATTTATTTTTGGTAGAATCAGTCCTGAATGTGTATAGTCATTCACTTGGCTTTTCACTTGATAGAAAAATCTTATGATTCCAGAGTTAAAATCACTTTTATTTGGTAACATCCCATGTGACATTACCCAGACCTAGCCAGGAAAACCTGTGCGTAGGTATTGAGCAACCAAGTCCATCCAACTAATTTCCAGAGCCAGTTCTTAGATTCGTATTGTTGGCTGCAGGCTGGAGAGCTTCTGTTGTTGATAAACCACCCATGTTGGTTCCAACTTGGAACTTGTCAGATGGAGAGGAGTTGCTTGTTTGAATTGGCTACATGGAAAGTATCAGGATGTGAGAATTATACTATGAAACTGTTAAGTATATTAGTTCTGTAAGAAGGAATAGAGGGAAAGTAGGAATAACATCTTTGTATTTTTCTTTTTCTTTTTTTCTTTCTTTGGTACTGGGGATGGACCTCAGGACCTTTACACCTGCCAGGCAGGTGCTTGTGCCGCTGAGCTATATCCCCGGCCCTTGTATTTTTCTTAATGGTGTATTATGTTGCTCACATACATCTGTTGTACCTGCTTTAGAAAATTACAACTAATGCTCTGATACCATTTCAAATGTGTAGGTAATCTTCAGACTATTCAGGGTTCTGCTCTTCCTATTTTTTAAAATTCAGATATTTAAAATAGAGAGTTTAAAATAGGCAAAGAGCCAGTTCCATTTTAACATGCATTCCTGTATCTGTTTACACCCTGCTAAATATTCAGATTGGAAAAATAAAAAAATAAAAAAATGGCTCTGACCTGAAGGCTGAAGAACAAAAGGGAGTAAGTATCTTATGAAGAAGAGGGAGATGAAAATGTGAACCCCTGAAAAATTGTAAATATGTATCTGAGTGTTCTGGGATTGATTGCATTTCTGGTTTAATATAATTACTATTTATTTGTTCTGTTCTTTTTCTTTTTTAAAAAACTCAAAAGGTAACCATGGAGGATTTCAGTAAACCACTCAGACAGTCAGCACTATCCCATGAAATTGTGGGGGTATGGTAAATTTTTCAACTAGAGTTTAATTTTTAATAACATCTAATTTCCTGTCATAACCCACAACTATCAAGAGATAGTAGACTTTTACTAGCAAGATGATATAACTCTGGTATATTTTTTGTATTTTATGGGTATCCTTCTGTCAAAGATGGTTACAGAATATAAAGGCCGTAAGTTCATATTAGAAATACAAGCTGTGCAGGTTGGTACTGTATGCCTTTTATGAATTAGGAAATAGTGTCCTTGAAATTAAAAATGAGTAATTTTATATATACTTTGAAAATTTGGTTTCTCCAAGTAATTCTTCTAAACTAAGATATTTATTACATTGTAAAGTCTTCTATTTCAGATGGCATTTCAAAGTTTCTTTAGGCCGCAGTTGATATTAAGGTTAATCATCATCACTTCAGAAACTGAAACTTCTTCTTTTAAATATGTCATTGTTTCTTTTATGATTTGTATTTGTCCCTGGAAATTATCAATATAACAGTATCACAACAGTGCTGTCACTATGCACTTTTAAAATATTAGATAAAATTGAAAACAGCTGCATCCCTAAATATGCATTTTTGTTGCTTGGGTTAATTTCTAGAGGCAAAAATATTAATGGAACTTATGGTTTACATAAGAATGTAATTTTTATGAAAAAGGATTAAAAGGATAACATGAAGTTTGATTCACACTGCTTGCTATTCCTAGTAGAAAATAGAGTGTGTGTCAGGAAGGGGTTGCAGTTATTGTGGATGTTCTGTTGATACTATAGACAATAATAGAATGTATTTTATGTTGTATAGATAAGGTGAAGAAACTGAAAGTGGGGTGTTTTTAACCAAGGTACAGTACTACCCTCGTAGTACTTGACAGTGTGTGTTATACAAAGCACCACAACTTGTGCTTTTCTGTCCTTGCCCATGACACTTTTCTTGGTGGGGTGGGGAGTGGAACATTCTTTAATTGTTTCTGTCAACTGTTTTAGAGCACTGTGGCTGAATTGCAAGGAGTATCTGGCAACTTCAGTAACAATAACAGCAATTGCCTTAAGGTTTGGTGTTTTTTGTTTTTGTTTCTTTTATGTAAAATCTTATCTGTACCTTCCTGCTTCATGTATGAAATCACATGTCCTGTATGTCTTATTAACTCTCTCTGCTCTCAGAGCTTCTCTTGAGCTGTGTGTTTCGTGAACAATAATTTGAAAACAATGGTTTGAACAAAGATTTAATTCTGAATGATAGCATATATTTTAGGTACAGGTTCTACAGTTTGAACTTGCTTCCTAACATTTAACTATGAATGTTTTTAACCTGTAACATTTGAAATATTTTGTCATTCAAATTAAAGGGTTAAATGATACCCAACATTTGTGCTATATGAGATTTACAGGATACATAGTGATTTATATTGTTTTATATCCAGTATTTTTTGAAGAATCTTCTGATACTTCGTACTTTTTCCAGACTAAATGCATATATCCTTAAATAGTACTATTTATTTATTTGCATGAGTTATAGGATATACATCCTAAAATGTCTGAGAAGGCAATCTATTTTAAATAGTAAAATAATCTCATGGAAAGCATAGAGCTTAAATGGAAATTAGATGTGTTTGAGGCCAGCCAGCTGATGGTAATAAAAGTAGCCTAAAGTATAAGAGAAAAATTCAAAAAAAATGTTTTTCATAACTGTTCACACACTCCAATTTTATTGGATATTGAAAATCATTAAATTATCATTGTCTCCTTTGGTTTGTGTTCCTCAAATGGATGAAGATAATCATTGAAACCTACAACCACAAGGTTTTTAGGAAACATTCTGTGGCTTGATGTATCTAACCATGCTGGAAGTAGCCTAAGCAAACTACACACACTGCAGGGGCACACGCATGCACACGCTGGCCCATGAGGGTGGACGTGGCTTTGTACTTGTACTGTGCGCTCTTCTGTAAGAATATTCTCTGTATGTAGGTATATTATTGTCTGTGACACTGAACATAGACAAGGAGATATGATAGGGTCAAGGGAAACGGAACTAATAGAGGAATCTTCAACCTAAGCGAGGTCATCTTTTTGTAGCTCGTTTTCTTTGTATAATTTTTTAAAACTATGCAGCTGATTTGATTATGTTTTCTTGCTGATTTTTCCAGCTGTGAGGTTATTTTTTCGCACTGTGAGGTTATTTTTTCATGGCTAGATAGAAGATAAAACTTTATCATCTTCTTTGATGCCATGAAATTCCTCTGAAAACTTAGTCTTTGTCTTCTCTGGAATCCATGCTATAACAATACTGTGTTATACTGTGACCCGTGGAGTTCATAGGAGTGTTAAAAAGATGACGTAGAAACAACACAGCTGACATTCTTTTCCCAACCTCAAAAACATTTTATGTGTTAAAAATTAAGTTTGAGGGCCGGAGATTTAGCTCAGTGGCATAGTGCCTGCCTGGCAAGCATGAGGTCCTGAGTTTGATTTCCAATACCAAAAAAAAAAAAAAAAAGGAAAACTAAAAATTAAGTTTGGTGTCATTCTTTACCAGAAGGGTCTGGAATGCTAATGGTCACGCAAAGAGATGGCCCCACTAGACCAACAAGTCAGCTTATCTTCCCACAGGCCCTCAGGATCCCCTGCTTTCCTCTGGCTTTTTGCTATTTTGTTTTCTCCAGCTTGAATCATGGTAGCTTAAACAGGTCAGCTTTTCAGGACTCTGTTTAGGCCTCATGTCCTCCACAAAGCCTCCTTGAGCCTTCTCAGCTGAGCCAGGGGCCCTTTTAAAGCATCAGTAACACAGCATGTCTCTCTGTCATTGTTTATGCGTAAGTTTCCCCCATTCACCTACAGTCTGTCCAGTAGCAAGTACTAAAGGCTGGTTGATTACATACAGTGATGAGCACAGCCCTGGGAAAATTAGAGGAAGCAAAGAAATTGAACCAGATTAAATTACTCAAAGGAGGTTAAGATAAAAATTCGAGGGCAGAGTCAAATGAGAATGAAGTTTACTCAGAAACATAGCAGTGAGGGAAGAATGGTGTGGAGCACAAGAGTAAAAGCAGCGTCAACCCTGGGAAGACTAGAGATAGGCGGAAAGGAAAGGCCCCAAGGAATATTCTGTACTCCCTTGGGCGCTTTACAGTTGAGCACTTCGTGTGAGCTTTTGCCTACTCCCTCCTTACAGATAGCTTCGGAGACCATGATTTGGAAGAATACACTTTGTCTGCCACATTATTCTCAAATGCTCTGCATATGAAACCAGAAGAAATGAATATGCACATTTCATCTGTTGAAAACTTTGAAACTTTCAGAATACCAACCTAGTGACCCAGGTTGACATGACTTTTCAGTTATAACTGAGGAAGCCTATAATAGTAGCAGACAGGTTAACATGACTTCTCAGTTATAACTGAGGAAGCCTGTAATAGTAGTAGAGAGTCAAAATGGCCTTAATTATTTCAAGATCAGTACTACAGAAATGACCTTATCTCCAGTGAGTTAACTTAGAAATAGCCTTTCAGGGGGCTGGGGATTTAGCTCAGTGGCACAGTGCCTGCCTGGCAAGCACAAGGTCCTGAGTTCGATTCCTGGTACCGGGGGGGGGGGGCGGGGAAGAAATAGCCTTCCATCAGAGAAATACATTTTCATGAGCAATAAAGACCCAGGGCAACCTGACCAAGGATTAATGTGCAGGAGCTCCCTTATCTTGACAGAAATCTGTCAGTCTTGACAAAAGCTCCATTCATTATATACTGATATTGATGCTAGTAAGAATGAAAAACTCATGACTGAGTGCTGGAGTTCTAGCTCCTAAAGAAATTTTTAAATACTATTAAAATAAAATTGACTGTGGAATGAATATCTTAAGTGTATAATTTTTAAATGTGTAATTTGATATATTTTATCAATATATATCCCCATTTTAAAATCAACTTGGATGAGTGGCAATGAGATGTACCAGTTGTAAGTGTAGTTAAGAGTTTGGGAAGTGACCACCGCCATGATGAAGGTGCAGAACTTCCCTGTTACACCAGAGTTACCTTGTGGAGCTCTGCAGTCGCTGTCCGTCCACAGCAGATACCCAGTCTGCTTGGTGACAGTGTAGGTGACTTTCCCACTCTGGCCTGTGATTTGAATAAAATCATAATGTACTTTTTCACGTCACGCTTCTTTCACTCACCATGATGTCCTTATGTATCCTTAATTATTAGGGTATTTCAGCTGGTATTGTTTTCAGTTATGGGAGACAAAATCCAAGTCGTACCCAGAATGGGATGCTTAATTGGAAAACTCCATTATAAAATTGGAACACTATGACTACAGTTCTTTATAGATGAAAATAAATCTACCATCTAGGAACTACATGAAAATTACGTCTCAGAGCTTAGTGCTAAATGAAAAGGAAATTTTCTCTAAGAAATTATGACCACAAGTAGCCTGAATGTTTTATTATATTTCAGGGCAGAGGGAGGTTATCATTTTGGGGGGAATTACCTTTAGTCAAAGCCTACAAGTTTTAAGGAATACAAATTTACAGTTTCAAAGTACAAAACTCAAAGTAAGATAAAACACCATGATAAACAGCAGAAAAAAAAATAGGAAAGAATAGAAGTAGGAAAAGGGAAAAGAGTGAGAAAGAAGAAATGAAAGATCAAAGTCATTTCCTTATCAGTTATACTAACCTGGAATAAATATTTTCATTTGCATATAACTTCCTTCGAGGACATAAATACAAAGGACAGTACCACTCCGATGCCAGAAGTGTAGTAAAATCTTGAGACTTTTTTGAGGTATGAGACAGTTGTACAACCCTGATAGTAAAACCTAGTAATGATGAAAAGGAAAACACATGTCTATTTCATTAATAAATAAAAGTAGTAAAAGATCTTCAAATATTATCAAACCATACTTAACTCTGTAGCCAGCGGGTTTAGCCAGGAAGGCAAGTATGGTTTAGTGTTAGAAAAACAATCACTTCTTGTGTTTGACTTTGTAGTGGAAGACAAGAACAAGTTAAAGAAAAAAATTAGAAATAAAGACATAAAGCTGTAATTCACAGATGGAAAGAATGTCTATTTGGAACAGCTCAGAGGTACTTACAAATGAATTTTTAGAATCAATGTAAGATTTAACAAGTTTTCTGGATACATAATTAATACAAAACATAACATCTATTTCATTGTGTCTACAGACTATGAGAAAGTGCCATTTATGAAGTATCAAGAAATAAAGCATAGGCAGGACCTTCATAGGGAAAACAAACTTTTATTGAAACATGTTAAAAGAAAGCGCTTATGTAAACAGACAGGGAGCTCTCTTTCATGGATTGGATGACTCAGGAGCTTAGCTGAGTCAGTTTCTCCTAGTTGATCTATATGTTCAGTACAATTCCAGTGAGAACATTTCTAAAGGATTTTTAAATGGACTTTGGTAAGCTGTTGCAAAATGTATGTGAAAGAATAGTGCACCAGATACAGCCATGACATTTCGTGTGCCTTTAAAGAGAGATAATTGTTATTAAACTACAGTAATTTATACCACGGGGCAAAAGAATAGACAAATTGATTAAGGAATCCTAAAACAGCCCCTTCCTTATATGAAAATTTGGTGACATAGATAACACTTCATATGAATTGGGAAATGTTAAGCTCTTTAATAAATAAAAAATTGTAAAATTGACCCTCCATCTCATTCCATACCAAAATTTAATTCTCTGTGAACTGACTTTTCAGATACACAGTACAAAACTGTAAAATTCAGAAACAAAGTGAAAGAGTATCTTTTATGACTTCCAGGTAAGAGATCATTCCTTAGCTGAGATGCTTAAGAAAGCGGAACCAAGGGGTTGAGAAAATTGTGTTAAAATTAAGAACTTCTATTCATCAAAAGAAAGCAGTGAGTGAAAAGATAAACTGGAAGCTGGAAGAAGATGTTTGATAAGCAATTTAAAGAGCATTATTGCAGAAGTATTTCTGTGAGCCGAAAGGAAAAGACTGCATACGGGCTGCTGGCTTGAACAGGCGCATCACGGAGGAGACCGCAGTGGGAGACGGTTCCCTGCT